ATCAAGACGAAATTAGAGCTACTCAAGACTTTCTAATTTGCTGTTTCCTTCTCCAGAAATTTTTTTTTTTGTTCTCCGTTCCACAATAACGAGGAAGAATCTAGAGTCAGAGAGAGAGCTGAAATTAAGATTTTTTTTTTTTGGGTTTGTTCAAAGATGCAACTTTTTAATAGCTGTTGTGGAAAAGGATTTGATGGGTATGTATTGGTTAATTCATTGATTTAATCGACGCGATGATTGTGAATATTCTTCTCTCGTGTATGTAATTTGTGTTTGATTTTCCCTTTGTTGGGTTGCTGCAAAAATGTGTTTAATTGATTTTTAGATGTTATGGTTAGGGTTTAAGATTTCGAAATTTGGAGCTAATTTGTTTCTCCTCTAATGGTTTTTTTATGTAAAAGTTTGTTCTTTTTTTTTGGAAGTTGGGGAAAACAGTTTATTAGTTAAGCTTTAAATCAGATTTAAGCTTAGAGCCATTACTGATCCTCATCACAATTTATTACCTGATTGATCTTTGAATAGTAGTTGAAGTGATTTTAGGGTAATCTTGTTGCATTACTTATCACTAATTTTTCGAAGTTTAAAGATCACATGACCTGGTTCTGCAATGGATGATTGTTTCAACTGTTCTGCATTTCATCATTATTTGTTGTTTTTGAATGATGTGAAAAAGAGATTTTGTTTGGAGAAAACTGAGGTTTAGTTTTGCTTTGATATCACAATTACACAGGAAAAAGAAAGAGAAGACAGAGCCATCTTGGAGGATTTTCTCATTGAAAGAACTTCATGCGGCCACAAACAGTTTCAATTACGATAACAAGCTTGGCGAAGGTCGATTCGGGAGTGTGTATTGGGGTCAGCTATGGGATGGATCACAAGTAATTTGATCCCGACGTAACCTAAATTGTTATCTTGGACTTGTTTGTTGTCAAAACCTAATCTTGTGAGGTTGACGATTTGTTTTCTTGCAGATTGCAGTTAAGAGATTGAAGGCATGGAGTAACAGAGAAGAGATAGATTTTGCTGTGGAAGTCGAGATTCTTGCCCGTATTCGTCATAAGAATTTATTGAGTGTTCGTGGCTACTGTGCGGAAGGACAAGAACGTCTTCTTGTATATGATTACATGCCGAATTTGAGCTTGGTCTCACATCTTCATGGCCAACATTCAGCTGAATGCCTTTTAGATTGGACCAAGCGAATGAAGATTGCTATAACCTCTGCACAAGCCATTGCGTGAGTCTCAGAATCTAACATCGTTCACGAAAAGTTTCATATGTCATAGTTTCTGACGTTTTTGTTCTTTGGTCAGCTACCTACACCACCACGCAACCCCGCACATAGTCCATGGAGACGTGAGAGCTAGCAATGTGTTGCTAGATTCTGAATTTGAAGCTCGGGTTACGGATTTTGGATATGGTAAACTGATGCCAGATGATGCTGAAGATGGAGGAGCTGCCAAAACCAAAAATAACAATGCGTATCTCTCACCAGAATGTGTTGCATCAGGAAACGAATCAGAAATGGGCGATGTGTACAGCTTCGGTATCCTATTGCTGGAACTGGTTAGCGGCAAGAGACCAATCGAAAGGCTAAACCCAACAACCAAGCGGGGTATAACCGAATGGGTCTTGCCACTTGTTTACGAAAGAAAGTATGGTGAAATCGTGGATCAGAGGCTGAGCGGAGAGCATGTGGAAGAGAAGCTGAAGAAATTTGTCTTGGTGGGGCTAATATGTGCTCAGACAGAGCCAGAGAAGAGACCAACAATGTCCGAAGTGGTGGAGATGCTGATGAATGAATCAAAGGAGAAAATAACTGAACTTGAAGCCAATCCGCTCTTCAAGGATCCATGTAACAGCAATGGAAACAATAGAGAGCAGCAGGTTGCAGCGGAAAACTCAGACGCGATCGCAGAAGAGAAAGATCATGATCAACAAGAACAAGAATAGGGATTTTTAGGCACATAAAATTTGTTCTCAGATTATATTTTTTACCTTCATCTGTTCATATTTGCTAGTCCTTGTTTTTATCCATCATTGGATTCGAGGTATTGCTTATTTTTTTGGGTATTTTTGTTGGTGTGTTCTTAGTTCATAACATTGATTTGATCATTGATATTGGAGTTTGTAAGGTCTGTGGTATGGCACATAAAAGGCAATTGTGTAAACTTTTGTTGATTTTCTTGAAATTGAAACAATTGTCACTAATTGAAAGACATTAATTTGACAAGACTCAAAACTTTTTCACACTAACACGATTATTTTTCTTCACAATGAGGTAAATTAGATACACACACTTGAACTCAATCAGTTCTGGTTCTTGGAAGAAGATGACCGGAACAAGAGGATAACAGAGATTACAACAGGAGCGATTATAATGAAGAGTGCTTGAGTGAGATTAGGTCTTGTGATCTCTGGGACCAAAACGCTACCGTATTTGATTATAGCTGCACCTGCCACTGAACCAACTCCAAGCTTCAACAGGTAGTTTAAATCCTCCTGTATTTGTCAGATCAAAAAGAGGACTTATTTCTGTGGTTTCGAATAATTTTAGTCCAAAAATTAAATAAAAACTTGACTTTTTTGATCAAATTCAAAACTTAAGGGGATATATTATAGTTTGGGAAATTGGGTTGAATAACCTAAAAAATAAATTATAATCAAAAATATAACCTTTAATCTAAATCTAATGGATACAATTAGACTACATATGTTAATTTTTATTAGATTCCTAATTATTATTATTTTTTTTTTTGTCTAGTGAGCAAATTAACATTATAGTTTTGAATTCTTTTGGCCCCCACC